CGATATTGAGACGGTTTTTCAAAATTGTTCTAGGTCAATTTTTGTAAAACAAAACCAATCAAATATCACAACAATTATAATAAACGGTTTTCTTATGTATGGCGGATCCAATTTTATTCGGCTGAACCATAATTATTTGTTACAGCAGAAAAATGCTCGAATTATTTTTTCAGTATACTGCGAAAATTTTAAAAATAAAATCTCAAGGGTACACGATTTTTGACTAGAAAATTTACACAGAGACGAAGCTCAACCTCGCAAACTCGAGCAAAAAGTAGCTATGAAGAGTTTAAAAAAGGGTAAAAAGGTAAAAACTAATAAAACTTGTCAAAATCCTGACGTCCACGTTAAAAGTGACACATTCAAACATCTGTACTATGGTGGTGTATCATTTTTAATGACTAGAAGGCCTTGGAGGTACCTAGTTCATAATACCGTTGAAAACTGTACTGGTGCGAAAGGTAATGCGGCTCTTCAAAATCTGTCAAAATGCCAAAACTTGGACAGTTAACAAATTGATAAATGACTTACATCCACAAACGTACGGATAACACGTTTTTGTGAAAGGAGTTCTATTTTATTTGTTCACCAAACGTGCCAATTCTGAAAACAAAATAAGAAACCGATGAAACAAAGCTGTAATCTCTGTCGCAAAAACTTGTCATCATTCCTTCTCAAAAACAACTCTGCCATATCTGAGATCAAAGATAAAAAATTGATTGATTAAGAATTTTCTCACTGCATAAGCAGCTACGCTAAACAAAAATTGGTTAAAAGATCCACATGGTTTGAAAAGTCATATTTTTTTTCAGTCTATAGCAGATTCTTAAACAAAACTGGAAGTTTTTGTTTATGCAAAGGACACCTTTACAGCAATATTTTCTTTCGATTGAACTCTTAACCTCAGATTAGGCACGGTAGTACTAAAAATAAAAAAAAATCCAAATGAAAAAAAAAACTATGTTAATTTATGCTCTTCTACAAATCTTCACGCAGTGAGAAAATTTTACTCGCTGCTCTTCCGATCAAACCAAGCCCTTTCTTCCAGATTTGGCAGATTCGTTTATGAAAAATTTCAAAAAAAGTAAAAATTGAACAAAATTTGAAAGAATTACAATTTTTCATGAGACAACTGTTTTCGTCAAAAAACTTCGGGTAACACCAGTTGGCAGCGCAGATTCAGAGTAGTTGCTTTTTCGATTAAACTCTCAACCTCCGATTTGATAGGCAATTGTCAAGAAAAGGACATTTTGGACATTTTCTTAGGCCGAACTCTTTCTATTTCAAAATAAGGGCGTAGCCACCTAAACCGTTCTTTTATTTAAACTCCTAATATCAAACTTTTACGGCAGTTTTCGAGAAAATGAAGCAATCCAATACTAAATGGCTAAAAATTTTCCACTCACTAAAATTTTCCTGGAACGTTTGGCAGAAAATATGATTATCGCAAAACCAGGTACAATTCAAAATAACTGTTCGTTAAAAAATAGGAATTCGTCACCAATAAACTCAATTAAAAACTTTAATGCAATGGAGCAAGATTGCCAGATATGCTACAAAAGGGCAAAGCTTTTCCAAATAACCAGCACATTTATTTGCGCCTTAGGTTCAAAAAAGTGGATACCTTAAATAACACTACGATGAAAGTTTGTAATTAAAATTCCGTTTCCGATGCTTGAACCAAAGACGTCCAACCATATAAAGTTCACTTAGAAAAAGATTCAGAGCGTTTTTTATGCAAGAAAAAACCCAAATCTTGTTCCCTAACGCAAAAATCACAATTTTGCGACAATTTTTATGAGTAAAATCAGTTCGTTGTCTGAAAATGTGATATGGCTGAAAAAGAAGCAATTTTTGTGCATAAATTTAAGGATGATTGAATGGTTGGAGCAGGATTTAAAAAATCGAATATTTAGTTAACCTGACTTTCACAATGGGCTTGAATAAACAGCTTTAACTTCTTTCAGAATTGCAAACATAGTTTGAAAAATGCCCTCCAAATCATTCTTAGTTTCGGAAATCTAAATGCGAAAAAAATTCTCTCGTTCAAAAATACCTGAAAGCTAAATGGCAGCTTGTTATTTCAGAAAAGCAAATCTACTGTATCAATTTTTTCTGCACAATTATCTTGACTGTTAAAACGTCTCTCAGCTTAGAAACAGATTTAATAATCGAAAAGTTGAAAGAAACTTTTTTTTTCAATTTCTTATTATGGTTATCGTGATTGTTGTTATCGTGATCGTTATCAAACTATCTTGGATGAGAAACGCGCTGGGGCAATGCTAATTTTCAGTTTTTGTGTATGTGCCAGGTAGAAATGTGTATAGGCCAGGCCTGGTATAATTGTTCAAAAATTACTGTTACTTACACATAAAGTTATGAAGAATTAATTCTTGTTCTTTATTCAAAACACAAATTCGCTAAAATTTTAAACGTTGTTATGATGCAATTAATATTTGAATGGTGAGCAAATGAAGTATTTGAGCAGATTTAATTTCCATATATACATAGCTACATCGCGCGAATCAGTTGAGCAATCTCACCCCTCTTTCCCACGTGGGGGGATAGCTCAATAGGTAATTGAGGCATGTTTATAACACAGAGGCGAAGTATAAGATTAAAACAGCATGACGTTGAATAAACAGCAAACAAGACTTCGAGCGAAGACGAAACTGCAAAAACAAAATTGAAAAAAAGTGAAAAAAGTTTTTCATGATTACATTCATTTAATTTTTTTCAAGATCCTATTATGTTAATATTGAGCTCTCAAAAAATGGATACAGTCTTAACGATCTTTAAAACAAAACCGGAAAAATGTAGAAAGCAGAATTGGTAAGTATAAAAGCCAACAAAAATTCAACTGACAGTCAATAAGCTGAAAATTGTGAATGTAAGTCCTAATTTGTAAACCAAACCTACAGAGTTTAAGTCTACAACCAATCAGCACAAAAACTGGAATAAAATTTCAACATTGCACAACAACATAGCAGACATCAATTGAAAAGAATGTAGCTAAGTTTCGTATCAAACTAAATCTACAAACATTTTCACATAATTTCATCAATTGGTCTGAAACAAAAGTCAATTATCGCAAAAAATAACATACCAAATAAAAAAACTGAACGTTGAAATTGCATCAGAACAAAAACTACATAGAGCGGTAAAAACGGGGGCGGATTTGGGGGGGGGGGTAGCGGACGCCCTCCTCTCAGGGATTCGACGACCCCCAGCCGACCCAAAATGATCTCCCTTTGTACAATTTTGAGATAGCCATTTTTGGCTGAAGGAACCTAAAATTTTTCTAAGTGCACCTTTGGCGCCAATATATACTAATTTTGAGGAGGGAGCTGACGCGAAAAAAAAAACGAAATTTTTAAATATTTTTCCAAAAAACTTCAAATAACACTTGGGCCTCTTTTTTCAAAATTTTGATGCCTGCAGCGCAAATTTGACCAAAAACAATAGGAAATTAGGTCGACCGAAATAAAGGCTAACGACCTGTGCCAAATCTGATGAAATATTAGTCGACAACTCTTAACCTTAATACAAGGCCATTACACTAACCATGCTATTAATTAACCAATGGGTATAAACCAATGGGTACAAAATATACTGATTACCAATTGACCATTCTGTGAACAAAGTTATGTACGGTAAAAAAAAAACCTAGTCCCCGATTGCAACACCCTTGCTCACCGCAAGGGTAACCACTTGAACTTAAATTGGAAGGTATTATATATCATTCAAATACTAAAACTAAAGATTATTACTAACAAGGATAGCCGGTTACTGTGCAAGTAGCACAGAATGTTCCGACCAATCTTTGAAAAAATTATTTTTCAAATTATTGTCGGTTTTTTGGTGTGAAAAATTTAGAAAAAAAAATTGGAAAAATGTTTCAAGTTTTTTGCACTTTTTCGAATTTTTGAAGATTTTGAATCCAAAAAGGCGCTAAAATACTCGAAAAAAAACTAACGTTACTCGAGTAAAACTAAGTTTTTATCTTAATCAAATGGTTGTAAGCTTTTTAAGCCATTAAAACAAGACTGCTCGCTCGCTTTAATTGCCCGGAACAAGACGAAATATCAATAATTTTCTACCGGATTTTCTCGACACTAGAAAAAATTTTTGATGTGGTTCGAATCACGACTGAGAGGGTTTTAATATGATATATCATTCCCAGTCAACCCAGTCCAATGATTAATTGTGGTACCTGATTTTGCGTGGAAAACAAAAAAGTAAACAAACACGAACATAAAGTTCCTCCCCATTTTCAAAGGACGGAACAAAAAATATTACTAAAACTGATGCACTCAAAGCCAATTTTTTTTTGTCTTAAAAGAAAAAAACATTATTGCGAACAATATTATCAAGTTGCTAAAGATAACATTTTCGGTATTCAGACAGTAAGTTATGGTAGCAAACCAGTTAACTTGCTTTTTTCGAGACCGAGGTTGCCCAAACAAAAAAACTTGAAACAAACTTCAGGGGGTTAACTAATAGCTTAATTGATCCCATCAGGCATTTAGCCATTAGAAACTCGTTGAACAACTAAGAAAAAAAATTGGAAAGTGGGGGGGGGGCGTGGCAAAAAACTGAGGTCCATTGCATATTAATCATAGAAAAAAATAATGTGAATTTGGTCGTAGGCCAACAACCGAAGGGCCAACAAACCGAAAATAGGAGTACCATTCCAACAAGCCAAAAATTAATATTGTAAGGCAACATAACAACAGATTGTCATTGTTATGCAATTCTTACGTAATTCTGATGTAATTCAAGTAATTCTTATGCAATTTCGGCTTCAAGATATGGCGGTTTGTAGATACTGCGGTTTGTTTATCGTCAGCCGTATATCTATATTTTCATTTATTTTTTGTGATCAATTTCACATTAACCTAACATTTCAAACAGTCATCACTTTTCGATCTCTTTTACTCACTTTCGATGAATTCAAAACTAAAACTTAAATGGAAAATTTATATCTTTTGAAGGTCCAACATAATTTGCACTAAACAATTTCCTCTGAACAGTTTCAACACTTATCATCATTTTTCATTGATAGAGAGTTACAAACTGAATTGATGCGGAGAAGACTTCTATACGAACAACTTTTTTGATCTCGGATAAATAAATTTTCGTTCTTCTTTCTTCTCGTTTCTCTTCAATCAATATGAATTACTCAAGGCAAATTAAATTACCAAAATTTAACATGCAGACATCACATTTTTAGTGATTTTAACCATTTTAAATATTTTTGCAACTGTCTTTCAATGATGAGTTTGTCACTTTCTGGCAAATGGGTGTGAGAAAACCACTGTTCCATCTAGACATGCAGACGCCACTGACAACTGAGTTGGACTGAATTTGGCAACCACGACTGGCTTTTTGTGACAGAATACACTCTTCAGTTCGTAGAGGGGAGAGGGGAACTGCATTTGAGAAACATCCAATGGTTCGCCCATCGATGGGGTGAATCCGAGCAATCGGAACCCGAAACCAAAGGGAGAGACGAGAAGTCTTCCATTTGGACTGAAGTCCAGCTCCTAAACTCAAAGAAAGGAGGATCAATTTAACACCCTCCCCTCTGAACAGACCACGATAAGATCTTGCAACCCAATATTTAATTTAGATTTAAATGATAAAGATCAAAATTTGGAGTTCCATTTGTAATAAAATTACATCATCATTTTGAAACACTCGATACTGATTGGCTGAAACCTCGAAATCAGACACAAGTTAACATCCATCCTAAAACGTCCTAGGGGAGAAGATATTGTCTTGATTCCAACAATTAAATCGATCACAATCAAACGACCCACACAAAAAACAGACAATTTTTTCCAGAAAAAAAAACACTTGAAATTCACAGATTTCAGGGATAACAATATCAGTAATCGTTCAAATAAGTGCCAAGTTTCACGGACAATTTCGGGCAGCATCACATCAATTTTGAAATCGAAGACTCAATTATGATTCAAATGACGAGGTTTCCTATTATGCAGCCCGTTATACAAATATTGAAACAAGGATAGCTGGTTACTGGGCAAGTATCAAAAAATGTTTCGAACATTTCTGAAAAAAAAAATTTCTAGAACTTAAGAATATTTGAAATTGCCAAAATGGCGCAAACTCCAAAAACTAACTTTACTCGAATAAACTAAATTTTGACGGCTTAAATTATGAAGCATAAATGTGCTATTTCAAGCCTGCTCACTCACATGTTTCGCTCGACATTAGACCAAAAATTTCAAACGGTTTGTTTTTCGATATTGAGAAAAACGTTCATAATTTTTTTATGCCATTCGAATCAAGACTGTAAGTGCTTTAAAATTATATATCACTCAACACCTTCGATGATTAATAAACAGTGCACCTGATTTTGCGTGGAAAACAAAGAAAGAAAAAATTGAATACAAAGTTCCTCCGCCTTTTCAATTGTCAGAACAATTATAAAAGCTATCCTTTCATTCAGGGGCGGATTAAGCAGGGGCGGGGGGGGGGGGACGCCCTCCATCAGGGATTCGACCCCTTCCCGACCCAAAGGGCCCCCCCTTGGTACTTTTCTAAGAAATCCATTTTTGGCCGACCGACCCTAAAATTTTTCTAAAGGCGCCTTTGGCGCCAATATGTACTAATATTGAGGGGGAGCGCGCGCCAAAAAAACGCGATTTTTTTGGCCAACATTTTCCAAAAAGTGCCGAAAAACTGCTTTTATTGATTGTTTTTTCAAAAATTTGCAATTTGCCTGCGGCGTAGAAAATTTGGCCAAATTACTGTCTTTTTATTGCTTTAGGAGAGCTCGGAAAATCAATTTTGTCGACCTAAAAAAAATCGACACAATTTTCGAAATTTTTTTGAAACCCGCCCCTCAAGAAAATCCTAGATCTGCCCCTGCTTTCATTTTTGATCTTGGGCCGTATATCAGAAAAGACCTAAGTTACGCACCTTGATGAAAGTGGCGCCGTTACTTGTCTCTTCTGTACAATACAACAGCCGCTTCTGGGAAGAATAATTAGATTGCTTAGGACCAGTTGCATCAAGTCCTCTGATTGCATCTTCGCTTCCTCTCACTTTGATTTCTCCAATTGACCTTTGATGACCCCGAGTTGAAGTAAAATGGACCAAATCTGACGGCGAGGGAGGAGAAGCAAGATCCAATACACAAGTCAGCTACAAACACATCATTGTTCATTAGAAGGAGAATGTGTGGTATAATCGAATGGCATAGATTCGTGCTAATTCATTGAGTGCAAACGAGGTACAAGACTTAAAACAAGCACTAAAATTGGAGTGCTTTGTCGAGGACTCATGGTTGCTACGCATTCAGATCGACAACTAAATTTTATAGTCACAACTTTCAAAGTAGTTTTTTCTGGCGAGAAAAACTAGTCATGTTTTTTTTTAAACTTAACAAACTTAATACATTCAATTGAATGACATAGGTGTCTCTCCGACCCTTGATGGCGATGATTTTTTTGAAAACTTTTTTATTCCACACAAATCTAGGTACCACAAAAACCTCAGACACACAGGCAATAAGGCAAGCATAGCATTGCAAGCTAGCAAATGCAAAATGAGATGAAAACCACTAAATAAAACTAACAGATAGTTGGAATAGAGTCAAAGAACCCAAAGAAACAGAAAATACTGACTTGAACGCAAAAAAAATTAATATTTTGAATATATATAAAAGCAATTGACCAATTTGAGAAAACTGGATCTATAGGTAAAATTTTTATTCAGCTGGGAAATCTATAAACTAAAATCGATTTTCGAAACGAAGTCAATCACGTTTTTCGTGACCATTACACTTTTGCTGTTCAAAAGTAGAGTTTGCCTTCCTTTCAACAAAGAACTTCAAAAAAAAACTAAAATTCAAATACAAAACATAGCCAACTGACAGTTGGAAAAGAGTAATGAACGCAAAGAAGCAGAAAAAAAACTGCCTTAATTTTTGATAAAATATGAGCCATGGAATTTTGAAGAAAAAAATTGATGGCCTCAAACCTCTTTGAATTTCCAGAACAATTTATTATTGACAAATTTTTCATGAAATGAACCAAATTTGAGAAAACTGGATCAATACCTATAGAATTTTTTCGCCGGAAAATCTGATAGCCAAATTCCACTTTCGACACTAGAAGTCGATCACATTTTTCGTGACCTTTGCTGTTTGATAGTGGAGTTATCACAAGTCAAACCGCGTAAAAGAAATCACAAGTCAAACCGCGAAAAATCAAAATTAAGCCTGAACAAAAAAATAACAAAAAACTTTTTAAGAGTCTTCACTACGTTCATTACTCTTAAAAACTAAATTTGAGCGTAAATAAGTTCAATGAATTTTCCTGAAAAAAAAATTATCACAACCTATATAAGAGTATTCACTGTTCATCGATTCTTAAAAATAATTGGCAGAAAAATTAGACAGCAGTTGACTTGACTTATGTTCAATTGAAAGAAAACCAGTCGAAAAACGCAATCAACAGCGTTAAATCAGCATTCAGTAACTTTAACTTAGTGGCCCTTTACCCAAAAATACTTATGAGACTCCAGTTGAGCCGAAAACAAAAAAACTGCCATAAAAACTCATTGACGCAATAAAAAGATGACAAAGTTAATTAGAAATCAGCCGAAATAATTTAAGCCAAAACAAATTATTCAAAATCAGAGTTTGTAAATTACCAGATCCGTAAAAACTGTTTAAATCAGAAGAAAATTGCTCGCTTTGGAAACTGAGCCGACAAAAAATAAACAGACAAAAATTAAACCACCTATTGGGTAAAACATCACTTCATTCGTTCAAATTTTGGCGTAGAAATTGTTTGATTCCTATCTCCTCTGGCTTAACAAAAAAAATTCAAAATTAACACTAAAAAAATGATTTAATAAAAATTTAAATCAGCTTCGCTACTCCTTCTACATTGACTAAAATGGGCGCTACAGTTGGATTGAATTGATCAAATAATTGTCTGCGGCTCGTAGCACAAGGGTTTTCAACGTGAGGCTGAAAACAAATTAGACTAGACCCGTCCTAAGTCTTCTTGGGGCTGAAACGAAACATCATCACGACCTATAAGAATTTGAATTACGTTCATCGACTTTTAATAATGCTATATTGATTGGAAAAAATATTTTTGGGCCCTTAAATGAAAAGATAGCCAACAGTTAGTTGGAAAAGTGTCTATGAATACAAGAAAACCCAAAAAAATATTGACTTGTTTTTTTTTTAAAAAAAAACCTTCAAATTTCGAATTTCTAAGGAAAAAGCAGTTTGAGTTTCAAGAACAATTGATGATTGACTCTTTATGATAAAAGTAACCCAAATTGATAAAACTGCATCAAAAGGTTTTTTATTCCACTAGAAAATCTCGAAATAAAAATCTGTGTTCGATACTAGAAGTGCGCTATCGTCGTTGGAGAGCACAATTTGCCTTTATTTTAGCTAAAATCTTGAATCCAACTTAATAAAAATCAAGTCAAGCCGCAAGGGATCAAATATGGCGTTCAAATTGTAAGCGTTCAAATAGGGTCAATATTTTGAAACTCCTACGTCAAAAAGTATTTGTGCACACTCCTGCAAACAATCAAAAACGAACTGCAAAGCACTGCGCGACTGAATTAATAGTTAAGTTTTAAGTGAATGAGTAACTCATTGCTCGAAAAACCGAGATCTTCTAAAAAGCGGAAATGGTTGGCTTTGGAAACTGAATTGGCATTTATGGCAATAGCGACTTATGTAAAATCACATACTACTAAGACAATCAAGACAACTACAAAATGATATAATGCAATGTTAGGCTCAGGCAAAATTGATGACTGTACATAAGAGAGTGTTAATTCTCCGAATTCTGATATTTTCACTTAGCCCTAATATCATCGTGGCAAGCAGCGTATTTAATGTCAATCCAGCTGACAGAATTTGTTGCCATAACATTTAATCCGGAACCTCAGCTGTTTATAAGCCTCATTGTTTAGAACCGGAACTATCTGATCTTTTGCGTTCCGATTCTTCGTTTTTCTTTGATTTCTGTTCACTGTCGTTGTTCACTTTTTCTAGTGATTTATCTGTCTGCTCTTTGCCCGCTTCTAGGCTTTCTTCTGAAATTTGCACTGTACTCAATGTCATCTCCGTATTTGATGCAAATTGACTCATTGCATCTGTAGGTACAGTAGACACAAAAGACTTTGATGACATGTAAGATGAAGCACCACCGTCTGCTTTCTCGACACTGTCTGGTGATTGCATCGTCGGCTCAATTGCCACCACTTCAGCACCTGCCATATTCAAACGACTCAAAGAATCGTCAAAAGGTTCAACTTTTTGTCTCAAATAATCGACCTCCATTTTTTCCATAGTCAGTAAGGAATCTTCGCTTTTCATGTTGCTATAGACTGAAGATGTAGCACCTCGCTCTTCGACCAAATTCTGCCCGAGAGACCAGGCGCCACTGACTCGCGAGTCCTGATGTTTGTCTTCTGTCGCTCCTTGGTCGTAGTGCGGCAACATTCCAAACATCTTGTAGACTGCCAGTTTGAACTTTTGGATCTCTCTTGCCAGACTGATCCGGAACCCTGCCGATAGAGGGAAAAGAGGGAAGCCCGGAGGGTCAACTTGGGTTTCGGAGGACTGACTGGAATCACACCATAGTTGAAGTCTGTCGATTAGGTTCCAGGCTACGAAGCGGAAATGCTCCTCGATCTCCTGTTTGAAGGTCTCGTGAGGCCTCAGGATTTCACAAGTTGAGGCCTAAAAACAATCTTCGATACAAAAAATAAGCAAGGTAAGCCTTTCAAGGAAAGGCTAAAAAACTCATTTTCACAGATCGAATCCAATCGAGGGGTCTTCTTAAGAGTCAAAACCATTGCAATTAGCCGTACCATCTGCTTTTACCTCTGACGAGCTTTTTGCTTAATTACATATTTTTTAAAGTTCATCTCAAACAGATGAGCAGAAGAAAAAAAAACTTTTGTGCCAGAGACCAAATCGATTTACCTAAATTCATAAAAGTATTATATTTCTAATAACTCATCTTGTTCGAGTTAGAACCAGAATTGATGTCCAGCGTTCAAGAACTTCGGATATATCATGTACAATAGGATATCGATTGATATCTTTTATCTCTCATTTTTTCCTTTCTCGAACGCAAAAACTCAACACTGAATGTATTTCGACTTTTTAAGGCTTTGGACACTTTAATTTTTAAAATATAAGTAGCAAAATTTTCGGACACACAGATTTACAATCAGACAAAAATGTCTCAGAAAACCTTGAGTTATGCAAAAAAAAAATTCTGAAAATGTTGAACGGTTTTTTAATATTTTTTTTCTGACTAAACATCTATTTATCTCTGTGAACTCTTTAAACAACTAGTAAGTTTTTGTTTCACCTGATTACGACACAGAGAAAGTATACTATCATACCTCGACTAGACGTATGATGACCATTTCGTTGTACATCTTGGCGTTCTCCTGTCCAGTCTGCAGCTGACGCTGTCTCTCGTAGCCTGCCTCGTTGAAATAGGGCGTCTTGTTCAGAATGAGACCCTGAAGACTCACCACTATCTGCAACAGACTGCTACTTTCCCGATTCCACATCTCAGTTCCTAAAACATAGCCAACAGTCACTTGGAAAAAGTGTCACAACTCCAAAAAAAGATTGACTTTTTAAAAAAAATCGAGTTCTAAGGAATACAATATCAAATTAATTCCTAAAAAATTCAAAGATAAAAATATAAATCAAAACATTTCATTTCAGATTTCATTTCAATAGTGCGCATCAGAACATAATTTAGTCTGGATAAATTGACCTAACAACACTGTCCTTTATTCTATTTTTTCACACAATCCACTTATCAATATTTTCTACTCAAAAAATTGCTAAAAGTAAATATGGCAAATTATTATCATACTCTGATTCGTCTTTGAGCCTGTTACCTTTTCCAGCCCATGTTCCGAGTAAACTGAGACAGACATTTCCATCCTCGTACAGATTTGGATTCAGTTTCCCATTAGCGTAGGACAAAAATGCGACCTTGGGTGGTTCCAGAGGATAGCTCGGGGGCAGTCGGAGGTCAAACAGGAACAGCCCCTGTTGGTAGGGAGTATCTTCTGGGCCAACTATGAGGATTGAGAAGAGGTCTTGTCGGTCCTCGAACGTCCGCACCAGGATCCCATCTGGAAGCGCAGTGGACAACATCTTCAGCTCCTTCTTTACAGAGGACTAAAAACTGTGTTAATTTATTACTATTGGAATGTCAAAGCACATGCTAGCAAAAAGCTGTAAAGGTGCCCCAAAAGTGCCACCAATACTTGCGACTTAGGTTGGAAAAAAGAAGAACGTTCGTACTAATACACTCGCTTCAGAAGTGTAAAATATAGTTTCCAATCTCCACACGCGCACACACACACACACTATTAGCTTCACTGAATTTCATATTCTCAAACCAGATACAGACAACGGCTTTAAAATGGAAAAACTTTCGAACAGTCAACCGAAAAATCAATGTGACTATGATAAATTAGCAAATAAAATACAAAAACAAAATGATTGTTTACACTCTAATAAAGAGTTAAGATGTACCACTGGTAACTATTGTATCTAACTAAAGTTAAAAGAGAATAAAAGTAATGGTTGAATTAAAACCGACTGTAGTCTAAAAAGAGCAACTAGTGAGTCGAAGTCCACTGGACTTCGTAGAGTTAACATTGACTGGTACGTAATTAGGTAATAGAGGTCAAGGTTATAACATATTAAAAATACTGAATCACAACATTCCCCAGTGCACAAAAATTAATATCTGCCCGCTCAACGATGTAGCCAATATCACACATATACTCCATCTCCCCTCGCTCCACCAGGGCCAAAGAAGAAACAAAACGTAACCGCATTTAGCACCAATGGATTTTTACAGAGAGTACAAGTTACAATGGAGGTAATTATATGGTAATATATACATCCTACTTACAAGTTTACACAGATATCAACACTGAATGTACAAAATGATATGTACAATTGGGGTTATGTGGCATTTGTACAATTAAAGAAAACTAACTAACTCACTAACTAGGTAAATACTAAAAAAAAAGTTCTGGGTATCCAATGGATAAAAGCTAAATCAAATATGTAACATGTCATGTTACCACAGTTTAAAAGTTTTCGGAGTTTGAGACCGTAGAGTTGTATCTAGTATGGAAATTATCTGCTTCTATTCTTACATCGGTATCGATGCCCGAGGATATGTCACTAACGTTGTCATCCTGAGTATTACTGGTAACTTCTACCAATGGTGACGATACCCATGCGGTCCTTGTCGCCTGAGAGGAAGGTGTTGAGAGTTCGTCTTGAGTGGTTTCAGCAACCAAAATCGTATGATGTGGGATCTCGTCAATGGGTGTAAGATAATCCGAGGGGGACGTCGTACAGAATGAAGGAATTTGTTTCGGACTCTTTGCACCGGAAAACGTAATAAGCGGTTCGTCATCGGAGTCTACTGCACTAATGGTCTCCGTACCGAGCGTCACTTGGTCGATAAACCGTCTATCGCCATAGAATTTCGGGGGGCCTGGGTTTCTTCTTACACGATGTTTTGAAGATATCGGGGTTTTTGGTGTCTCCACTGTCTTCTCCGGAGAGCTATCCACTCGAATTGGGTCGTCGCTTGTGCCCGTTGGTATATTGAATGTTGTCTCAGTGTTTGTCTGGCTTTGTATGGTACTCCTTGGTTGATCTAAATTACTATGAAGGTTAACAGTTGGTGTATTATATACAATTTCCGATTCCGTACCCAAGTAGTCGTCAATGACTTTATCCCAAAGGTCTAACGCTAACGACGAATCTAGATTATTATAGTCGAATTTTGAACCTTTCGAGGTCGTGAAGAATGATCTCCTCTTTTTGCTTGAATTTCCACCCGTTGGTGTGAAAGTCATCGAAGGGCCTCCTATATTTGAGTCTCGTCTCTTGGAAGGGGAGTTTCTTTTTCGCTTGCCTGCTAAATCATTACTATTAATTAGCGCTTTCGGTCTTGCCGTGAAGGTCTTAGGAGCTGCCGGTTGGGTTTTGTTAAAAGCTAAGTCCGATTTTCTTATCACATGTCCGTTATCTAATGTGACCGTATGTTTCGTGTCTGACAAAGGTTTACTCCCCAGTGGTTTAAAATAAGGTTCTCCTTCCCTCCTGTTAACTGTTTTCCTAAACCAGTTACCTCCTTGGCTGAAGGGATTCGACAGTGGGGCTCGCTGAAGATTTCTATCTACTTTGTCAGCGGGGTCGCTCTCATAGCCTCTTTCCTCAATTGTTCTGTCTTCCAGGTAGCCATCTTCGAACGCGTCATCAGCACCCCAGTCTTGTGCTCTGTCCTTCGTTATAATTGATTTCCCCTTATCTAAACTAATTGCGTGAGAGACCAAAGATTTCCAGAACGTATCGGGAGATCTATTAAAATGTTTTGAGAAAGGAGAGCATCCAATGGATGATTGTTTCGTCGAGCGTATGTTCCAAATAATTTTATCAATAGCCGTATTTAAGGATGGTTTTGGATCGTTGAACGACATTGCCAGAAGCTTAGCTTTGACCGTGTAAATGAGTCTTTCTACTACTCCATTGGATCTATGATCGCCAACCGTACATAGAATTAGATTAATGTTGTTCTTCTCACAGAAGTTTCTAAAATCAAACGAAGTAAAACATGACCCATGGTCGGCTCTAATGGACTTTGGAAATCCGTGAAGATGGCAGTAATCTGTCATGAAGGTTAAAATTGAAGAAGTCGAAGTGTTGTTTACTACCTTCGCAGACGGAAACTTTGAAAAGAGGTCAATGCATAACAAAAGGTATTTTGCGTTACCCCAGCTCTTGTCCAATGGGCCGGCAAAGTCTAAATCTACTTCTTCATTTGGTTCGGTCAGGTTCGGTAATTTCTCAGTCTTGTTCGTCCCTAGTAACACTTTTAGGTTCTTACCGGCCATTATGCACTGAGTGCAATTCTTTCCATGATGGTATATCTCTCTGTATAAGTGTGGCCACCAAATGTTTTCTGCCAAGGCTTTCATCCCAAACTGCCCTGGATGAGTCTCGTGAAGGAGTGACAGGAAAGATGATCGTAATACAGCCGGCACTATCAGTTTGTTATCGTTGAATAACAGCCCTTCTTTCAAATGTATATCCCTCTGGAAGTTCTTTAAATAGGCTCCGAATTTGTCCAATGGTTTGCCTTCGTGTACCGCCTTCTTTACTTCCTTGAGGATTTTGTCTTCGTCCGTCATGAGTTTAATCAGCTTATTCGAACAATGATCTGATAGTGATAACGGGTTGTCTGGCAATCTGAGATCTCCCTTGTATTTGGCCAACAGTTTTTTGTGTAGGTCTGACATTATGTCGTTATTAAAATTCAAGAAGATTCCTTTCTTTTCTGCCCTGAGGGAAATTTTTAACACGTTGACCGATGTAATAAATTCTTGTAATTGTTTTTCTTGATCTGAATTTAATGACTGATTGATTAATAATACTGATTGGGCAAGAAAGAACAAAAAAGTTTTGTCTGATAGGTAAAAATAATTGAAATCAAATTTTGATAAGTTTAAAGGAACACAACCGCTTGTGCAAGACTCTGAACGCGAGTGATTGGAATTACAAATTCTGATAGTGTCGTTTACGTTATTCAGAATATTCGAGAAGAACGACCGTTGGATGCTTTGTGATAAATCTTTCTTTCCACCCATTGGATTATTACAATCCAAGTTACTAATCGTATTTACATCCAATGGATAATACACTTCGTTCTTTTTACAATTATTCTTTTTACAATCGTTATTTACAGAGAGGTTTTCTACAATCTTTTGTACTGTCGCCACTACAAATTCGCTATCGTAGTGTGATGTAGGGAGTGCTTTACCTGAAGGTAGTCTCGACAATAAATCTGTAAAATCCCATTTCTTTTCCCGGAATGTGCTTGATCTTAAAATTAAATGGTAACAGTCGATTTACCCAACGGGTTAATCTGCTATGCATAGTTTTGTTGCTCTGGTTTGCATTTAATGCTGATAATAATGCCTTATGGTCCGTCACAATTTCAAATTCGGCACCATACAAGTAATTTTTAAAATGTTCTGTAGCCCAGACTACTCCCAACAATTCAAGTTCGTTTGTAGAATATTTACTTTCGTGGTTGTTCAAAAATCGGGAGGCGAATGCTATTGTTACCCAATTTTCTCCATTCCATTGTTCTAGGGTAGCTCCTAAGCCGTTATGGGAAGCGTCTGTCTTTAGTCTTGACATCCTTTTTATGTCGAAGTGGTTGTTCTCTGTTATCTTCACTATCTGTTGTTTTAGTTCTTCAAATGCTTTAGTATGTTCGTCATTCCATTGGTAGACTGATTTCTTCACAAGAAGTGGTCGTAGGGGGGAACTTAGGGCGGACAAATGCGGGACGAATTTCATATATTGATTGATCGATCCAAAGAAAGATCTAAGTTCAGATATGTTTTTGGGGTTTGGTAGGTTTTTAATCAAATCTGACTTTCCCACCAATGGTTTCACGCCCGATTTTGATATCTTGAAACCTAGCCACTCTATTTCTTTTTGGAAGAATGCACATTTCTCCCATTTTACCGCCATGTTCTTGTTGTCCAAAATGTTTAAAATGTTTGTTAGTATCGCTTTGTGTTCATTTAATGAACCTTTCGAAGCTATTAAAATGTCGTCGATATAACAATTGGTAAAAGGAATGTCTTTCAATAAAGAATCCATTACCCTCTGGAATTCGTTTGGCATATCGCCCAATCCGTAAAATCCAGTTAAAAACCTATAGGTTCCAGTGGTTTCGCCCCCCACGATACTAAAGTTACACTGTTTGCTAGTGCCTGTGCATAATTGTAGTTGGCTGTATGCGTTCTTTAGATCTAGATTACTAAACCAAACTTCCCCTGACTCTTTGCTTGACAGTTGAAGAGCAATATTATCGATCAGTTCATGTATGTTTGGCATCTGGTACTTGTTCTTGAATATCTGATTATTTAATAGTTTCGAATCTAATGCCAACTTGATGCTACCGTCTTTTTTTCTTGTAATCACAATTGGGCTTATAAAACAATCTTCATCGCATTTGTTCAACTTTATGATATGCCCCTCTTTTTCCATTCTATTTAGTTCCGTTTTTACGTTATCGAGTAGATGTAAGGGAACTCTTCTACCTTTGGTTTGGATAGGTTTGAATGGGGAATGGAAATGAGTAACTTTTCTGTCCAAAGGTATTTTTCCCACTCTGTTAAATAGCCCTTTGTACCTATGATACAGATTAAGGGTCGTATCTGAATAATTATTTAACTTACACAATTCTGTGCGTGATATGTTGTTGACGGGTAGTAGAGGCTGTCGTTGGGCTATCTCTATTCCAATTCTCGGGAGATTGTCGTTACCCAGAATGTTCCTCTCATGTCCAGAAGTGATAAAAAATGGGGTTTCGTCCGCGGTCCATCCATTGGATTGTAACCTCACTACCACCTTCCCGATGATGTTGATTGTGTCGTTAGTGAATCCGCAGTATAGTTCCCTCGTTTTCTTCTCAACTGGCTGAATCTTCAACTGTGGATTTCTCAGCTTCAATTCGTGAAGTACATTTTGTTTCAGGAAGCTCACTGGGCTTGCCGAATCCACTGGAATGTTCAAGTTGACTATCGCGTCGTCTCCCAAACCGATGTTGACAAGTTTCTTGGTTTCCAAACCATTGGTATCGTAGATTGTTCTAATGTTGAGAACGGAATAGTCATCGTTATCACTTATCCCTTCTTCGGTCCAAGCGTTAATCACTCCACAAAAATTTTCTTCGCTTCTCATCTGAAGATCTTCTGGGGAATATGAACAATTCTGACTATTTACAGCTTCATATACAGTATTTACAGCGGGTTTTCTTCCTTTCGATTTACAAAGTCTTCCAAAATGTCCTTTATATTTACAAATATTACACACAATTTCTTTCGCCGGACACACATTCAGATGACCCTTGGTAAACGCATTCCCGCATTTCATACAAGTATTTGATCTTTCTATGTTTAAGCTTGGTTCCTTTTTAACGTTGTTGAAGTTTTTATACCCTCTCCCACTATTTCCTGTCGTGTTGAAAGATCTAGTCATATTGGTCACTTTGAGGTGGTTATAGTAGCCTTTTTCGTCAATTATTGCTTGGTTTAGTGCATCCAATGGATTGAGAGTTTCCGAAAGTAGTCTACGTTGTAAGTCGCAGTTTTTCATGTTAAAAATAAATACGTCTCTAATCCACTCCTGTTCTGCATTAATTCCAATTTCACATGATCTCGCCAAGTCTGATAACGCGCCCCAAAATTGGTCATAGGATTCTCTATCCTTTTGTTTCCTGCTCAATAATTTGTATCGTTCAAATGTTATGTTGGTTGGTTTGATAAAAGCCAATTCTAGCATTTCGTAAAATTCCTTGAATGAGATTCCTAGGATTTTTACCCTTGGATGTTTCTGGGCGAAAACTCTTTTGCCTTCCGCTCCTAAGGCCAAGTATAAGATTGACCTTACTTTTTTATCGGCCTCGTATCTCCTCATTCCTCCGAATTTCCTCTCTTCTTCTGCTAGTCTTTTCTCTTCAGCGTGTTCGTAGACTCGCATTGTTTCTTTGTTCCTGGCCTCCCTGGCTTTCCTCTGTTGGTCAGTTTCTGACTCCTGGGCACCTTCTAGGATCGGTAACGTCGTCTCCCCTTCCATTGGTTCTTTGAGGTTATCTAAGTCTAGGTTTTCCTTCGCGATAATGGCCAAATGGAATTGGTCTATCCAATTATTCCATTGGGTGGGGGGTTCAACCGTGTGGTTCGGCCAAAAGGCGGGTATTCCCCTCAGGTTCGAATCAGTTGTTGACTGCGCCATAATAAAGAGTTAAGATGTACCACTGGTAACTATTGTATCTAACTAAAGTTAAAAGAGAATAAAAGTAATGGTTGAATTAAAACCGACTGTAGTCTAAAAAGAGCAACTAGTGAGTCGAAGTCCACTGGACTTCGTAGAGTTAACATTGACTGGTACGTAATTAGGTAATAGAGGTCAAGGTTATAACATACTAAAAATAGTGAATCACAACACACTCCACGCCATTTGGTTCACTATAGGCAAAATATTACAATCTCTTCTGCGACTTCAGATCGTCATGAGAATCAATAACACACGCGCTATTCGTTTAAAAGCATTACAGTACCTGGAAATGTTTGGACGTCGGAGCCGTCTGTTCTGCTGAGGACATAAACCTGTGCGACTTCACAGCAGGCAGGACTTGGAACTTCGGGAATTTGTGACTGAGATGTGCAACAAACTTCTTTGCGGATGAAGAGGCCAGATGGTTGCTTAGATTAACCACACTCTCCTCTTCGCCCTCCCCTTCGCCCACTCTCTGCCAGTTGTCTCTCTTCAGTTTGGCTTTCTGCTGACCTTCTCCGAGTTCTATTGTCTCTTCTTTTACAAAAAACAAATACCTTATTGTTAATTTCATTTGAGTGAAATAATATAGATTTGTAGTTCTTAATGGTAAAAAACAATAAAAACGCTGCAATAGTGAATAGTTGACTGATACGCATGTATCACAGATGGTACCCTACCACACATTATTGCAAAACTTATTAATTTTCGTCTGATTTTTAAATCACGTTTTTGGCAGGAGGAAGGACTAGTAAAAAAAATAACTTCAAGAATTAATTGCAGATTGGTGATCGATTATCAACACAAACTCTAAGGTGGAAATTTCAAAGCTCGAGATTTTTTTTTGCTTGAGATCAAAAACATTTGGAAACTGAAATATAGCTCAAATTACGACTATAACAATGAAATAATATATATCAATGATATTTCTTTGATTAAAAAATAACTGAATACTATATTCGTTCCAACTTCGTGGTAGGAACAAAAACCGAGAGACCTAAAATGACGAAAATTCTTTTCATGTATCGTTCTCACCTGCAGTTAGTGTCGTTTCCTCTTCCAAAGCCGACTGCACTTCGCCTTCGGGTGTCTTCACCACATCCCTCTCTTCTTCCTCATCCTCCCCGTCAACCTCAATTCCATCTTCATCTGCATTGTCTTCTGAAGCGGTAGTCCAACTCTCGTCGTCTTCCGACAGAGGTTGCGATGGCACCCATTCCTCGTCGTCTGTGGTACTGCCGCTTTCGTCTATCGAGGATGCGAAGTCAGTTAGTTGGGACATCAAATCGTGTTCGTTAATTCCCAGTAGAGAGTGATGAGGAACTAGAGATTGGTACCCTAAATACAGCAAAATATCCAACTCTGGATGCTAAATCCAGATGATGGCATAATTTACGCAGAGATCGGGTGCGACAGATTAAACCCGACTTGTTTTTCAAATAACACAATCAATGAGTCACAACTCAATGAGAGCGACAACTCAATGAGCCGTGTCGCTCCTAATATGACTTCTCATTTTTCGCCAACTGCATTTTTGCCAACTGCAAAACAAAACAAACGCCTCGGTTTTTTCGATTTCACTTTTTCAAAATTCAATAATTATTATTTTTTGATCTTCTGCAATTCCTTGAACATTCCTTTTAAAAATCATCTTCGATAACTATTATGTCAGGTTAAATTAGTTGAGGCACAAATAGTTACCTTCCATCCATAACACATGTACGTATCCCGTCTCTACATCTATATCCAAGACAACACCAGCAGTACCAGCGGGAGAGGATCTGGATCTTATCGGAGTTTGAGACCTGCTACTTTTATTATTCCTATTATTCGCACCACTAGTATTGAGACTCTTGTATGCGCTGATCAATCGGACCATCTTTCCCATGTTCACTCCTCGAGGTCCTGGAGTCTCGACCGAATCCATGGAGTCTCCGGGTGTCCTATTGTTATCATTGTTGTCTCCGCCAGTGCTTTGATGTTCCTCATGATCTTCTGTGTTTGCACTACTGTTACAATTTGGAGAGTCAGGGATGTGATTGCTGTCCGATGGATGACAAAGTGGCATTTCTCCGTCGTTGCTAACACGAGCCACCATGTCCAAGATGTTTAGGTCGAAGTTCTCAAGGTCACACATGTCATATACGCTAACTACCTATGCAAACAAGGATACATGGTTGCAATGCAAGTAGCATAAAATGTTTAAAAAACATTTTGTTTGAGGCGCTTTAAACACTGGTAACAAGGTAACTGAAGTTAATCACTATTGAAAACAGAAAAAAGGGTCTGAAAATCAAAAGTAGCATGAAGAAATTTAAAGTACAGTGTTGATATAAACTGGTCTGAATACTATGAGAACACTGATTTTTTAAAATCCAAACTCCGGTCAATTTTTATGAACCTTTAAAGAAGCTCGTAAAGGGTCAAGTGTTATATCATATTAAAGCCCGATTAGTCGTGATTTGGATTCCATTTCATATACCTCCTCGTTGAGAAATGATCTTCTATCATTTGGTGCATCTGAGAACCACCTAACAGTGCACACTCTCTCTGCGAAGTCAACACTCTTCACCACTCCATACTTCTCCACACTCTCATTCTCCCTCCTCGTGTCCAACACGAAGTCGCCCACAAAGTACTCGTTCTCGTCCAGCTGGTGCGGCTGCATGCATTCAACCTATACGGTAGATAAAATTACGTTTTGTATACAACATATTTTATACTAATTTCAACATATAGAATTGATTGCAATCCCGGGTTGAGGTGCTCACTTTATGTTTCGACCGTTCTCGAGGTATACTTCGACCGTGTTCGATGTATTTTTCGACCGTGCTCGAAGTATGTTTCGAATTTGTGCTCGACCCAAATCCCTGTCTCGACAATTCTTTTTCGGTCGAGCACTGACATGTGCTCGACTTTGAAAGTCGAAACAAAAAGTGAGCATCTTGACCCGGGACAGAGGCGGACACTGTTCTCTAAATCAGGGACCCGCTCGTTCACCATTTAGGAATGGCTTCTTGATCTCGACTATTAGACGCTATTCTAAGATTACTAAGCAGAAAAGAACGCGCTTTACTAAAGACGGTATAGTTATAGTATAGTTTATTTAACGCATAAAATTTGCAAAGAATTTGCATAAAAATTTGGGCTCAAATCTCTCGAAAGAATTTCGGGTTCGAATGTCTGTATCTGGCAAAATTTTGTCTCAAATTGAACAAATCTCTCTCACTGTATCTGGCAAAATTCTGAAAAAATGTTGTCCCAAATTAAACAAATTTGACAAAAACGAACTTTTCAGGTTTTATTCGTTTTATTTTCTTGATAATTTCAATGAGCACAATATTTTATGATAGAGGCGTAGTTTTACTTTGCACGCACAAGTTAGAAAAATTAGGGAAAAGGATCTTTGAAAACGTAAGAAAATACAAAAGAAAACAACATGTTTTGAAAAATAAGGAGAATTAGTCGTCTACGAGATTCAAACCGGGGTCCTACGGATGATGAAGCATTCGTATTCTGGCTGAGCCAACTGTCCTAGCTGCATAACCTAGCTAGGAGTTAAATTATAGTAAACACCAGACGCTCTAACAAAGCGGATAAGACAAATACTAAGAGCAAATACTAAAGCAATGTTTTAGAATTGTTTTTAGATTTTGACTAAGCAAGAAAATTAATTCAAGTTAATTTGGAAAAAAAGCACTAAGAGCAAAAAAAATCTAATTTGCATAGCCACCTATAAGCAACTCTCGATTCGTTATACGAATTTCGATCAATTATAGCTTACACATTTGAACAAAAATCTCGTTAAAAAAATTCTTGTGTCAAAATAAACTACATCTGGAAAGCAAAATGTGGGGAAAATAATACAAGCATATCCAACCTGAAGTTCTCATTGAACTCAAAAAGACCAAAATAAAATGTCCCTTTCGGTCATCAAACTTTTTTACGATAACCTTAAGAACTTCGAACTTACAAGAATCTTTCATGAGACACTTTTTTTGATAAAACTAAACCAATTTGAGAAAAATTTGAGTTAATTTTTTCAATCATCAAGGAATTCTAAAATACATTCGCAAAACTGGAAGTCATCTCCACATTGGAAGCGTAATTAATATTTCTTTCAGCAAATTAATTTTAATTGAATTTCAAAAAAAATCAAGCGTCATGCAGCAACATCAAACATCCCCTACAGACAGGAAACAAAAAACACGGATTATTTTTTTTGTGAAAACAATTCAATTTTCGAACTTCAGATTTTAAAAATGCACAGCCTTAAGCCTTTTTCAGTTTCAAGCACAAAAATGATCGACACTTTTTGACAAATTAACCCAATTTATAAAACTGGTCCAATAGGCAATGTTTTCATTCCACTGGAAAATAAAAAAATTAAATTCCCTTTTCAAACCTAGATGTCGAGCCTGTTTTATTGTGAACTTTATACTTTTATTGTTCGATTTTTGAATTCGCCTTTCTTTTAACAAAAAAGATCAACTTCGTAAAGTAGTAAAAGAAAACTTGTACCTCCCGCAAAAGAGTCCAGTCGCACTCCTTCTACTTTCACGCATACTTCAGTCAAAAATATCAGATCAGATAGCGAAAATGTGTAACTAACGCACTAAGTTGTAAATTAAAACTAGCGTGTAAAGCACATTTGGTGCTTCAAACGTTAAAACTGCTCATATATATAAAACATGAAAAAAACAAGGAAAGGAATGCAACCGCAACAACAGATGGGAGAATCCAAAAACGCTCTTCATTTCCAAAATTTAACAATGCAAAATTCAACTTGGAGGTTTTTAAACTAAAATGGTCACATCTCCAAATCATGAACGGAGACTCTTATTAAACTTAATTGGTTTTCTCATCAGCTCGAAATCATATCATTTGCTGCCATCAATGGATAAATTCAACGCTATTCATTTAAAAACATCATACTTTTTTTTTTAGTTTAATGAAAACTTGAATTGTCATTAAAAAACATCAATTTCAAAAAACCAACTTCAGCAATAAAAATAGGATGGAGGCGACATCTGCAAATGCTGCTAGTAACAGTAACTTGACTTCACCCCCACCACAAAACGCTTCGACTATTTCAAATTTAGCAATAATATTTTCAAAAATAAAAATCGAAAAATGAATCATAAGCCATATAAAGAAAAGTGAAATGCGCTAAGAAAACATATTCAGAGTCCATATATAAATTTCCTGAGATTACCTTGACAGCACCCCATCATAATGTTGAGAAGCTAAGGTTTTGCGAAGTTTTTTAGATCGTTTGTGAAAAATCAAAAAATGACATACCTCGGAAACTGATATGGTTTGAGCAGTCAAACTTGAAGGAAATTATTGCAACCCATGAGACTACCCTGGCAGCCCCCAGCTTTAGGATTGTGAAATTCCAATTGTAAAAATTTTCAACAAAACATAAAAAACCGTCATATCTTGGAAACAAAGCATTTTAGCAATCACTTTTGGACACAAGATTTGAAACCCCTTAGAGTACCCTCGCGGTACCCAATTATAGGGCCGAGAATTCAAAATTTTTCAATTTTTTTTAAGTCTAATTTTTCTGAAAAATTTAAACAATCACAAAAAACGTCATATCCCGAAAATCACAAAGATTTAAGCAGCAAAATTTGAAGGCAAGTTTTGCAACCCCTGAGAGTACCCTGACAGCGCCTCGTTATAGAAATGGGAAATTCAAACTTAGTGAAGTATTACATCCGAGTTCTTCAAAACACTTCTGAAAAAATCATTTAAAAACGTAACAACTCAAAAACTTAAGTATATAAGCAGTCATATTGGGACTCAAGATTAAAATTTCCTGAGAGTATCATTACAGTTCCCAATTGAAGTATTCCCAATCCAACTTTTCTGAAAACATTTTGAAAAATTATAAAAAATACATCTCGAAAATTGGAAAAAAATTTGAACAGTCATTTAGAGAGTACCCTGACAGCGCAAACCCTTAGAGTACCCTGACAGCATTAAACTACAGAGTTGGGAGTTTCAAATTGTCTATATTCCAGTTTGATAACAAGTGCTAATCGCAAGCTTAATAATCTCAAGCGTAATTACACTACTCTCGCTAGCTCACTTTTCTCCGGTCTATAAACTACATTCCATCTGCAGACATCTCTGTTTAGGAAAAGCTCTCTCACCTCAGTTGAGAGTACATTCTGCTCGAGACTGCCGTCCTGCCACTGTATGTCCACTCTGGTTCTGATCATGACCACTTTCATGCCCACCCTCTCCCCCACACGGATAGACTCCAAACTCCTCACAGGTGGGTCTTCTTTCCCAATCCCTCCCCCACTTCTGCTAGAGAACAATCAATTTGAACATCGCAATTTGAACATAACAAACACAAAAAAAAATAAAGAGAAACTTGAACTGTCTAACTAACAAACCCCCAAATTTTTTCTCAATCCCCCGAAATTATATGTTGCTGTGGAACACGTGAACGATCCCTAGAACTAAAACAAATGAGTAATCACCATCTCACAAGCTCAGTTGAATAGAATAAAACCAACTCATTTCAATTACCGGAACGAGTCGAGAAAAATCTATAATAGACCAAAATTTTTGATATATAACTTGATCTTATATGATATTTAACTTTCTGGAGAAATTGACCTATACCTTTCACATGAAATGAACAATTTTTTGCAATTTAGACAATATCTGACATGGGTGATTTTAGTTAATGGGTATTTCGATAACATTCAAGACTCCCAATCGTAATTTCCTACATGCAAAAAATGCCTCATATCATAAGAAAAACCCTATGTCAGTTAAGATTTTTCTTTTGCAACCTTTGATGATAGATATCTCAGTAGTAGAAAATTTCATCAGAAAGTTATCATATTTCATGGAAACCTGGTAAAAAAAATCAACTGACGTAGAATCTTTCCAATGGCGTCATTTGTTTCTTTCGACATCACTTAATAATCACCTGAGGGTACTTTTGTTGTCACTGTTGACTGATGTGATTGTGGTCTGGTCGTTGTCCTGGTATTGGATATCCTCAGATTCGACGTCATCATAAGAGTCGCTGTCATCATCTTCGTATTCTGTGCTATCCAGGCCCTAAAATAACAACACATGTTGAAACGGACAAAAAATTTCATCTTTTACTTGAGTTTGCTGAACAATTTTTATTAAATATTCAAATGAAAATCTCAATTTAAATCTGGCTTCTTAATGATCATCGAATTTCCGAACAAAAATTGGGTCTTGCCCATTATAACCTGGCGAGCAACAAAAACATAAGTAGCACATAATGTTCCGACCATGGTCTTTAGAAAACTACGGATTCTGCTTAGAGTGATAAAAAGATCTGACGTAAAATATAATTTAGGCATATTAGATAACCACAGTAATATAGGCAACTTGGACAAAAATTTTTGTCGAAAAATGACTGCAAAAAACTGAAAAAAAAAATTATTTTGCAGAAAATTTTTGAATTTAATTGAAGTTTTTGCTTCCCAAAATGAAGCTAAAAATCCAAAAACTAGTTTTAAATGCTTAAAATTAAGTTTTAAGGTCTTAAATTAGGCAGAAGTCAGCTGTTCTAGTAAGCCTAATCAAAAAATTTAAACCGTTTTTCTCGACACTGGGAAAATTTTTTTTGGAAAATTTATTATCTGGTTTGAATCACGACTGACTGAAAGGGCTTTAATATATATCACTCAACCCACTCCGATGATTATTTGTGGTACCTGATTTTGCGTGGAAAAAAAAGAAAAAAAACTAAAACACCCGAATTTAAAATAAAACCCTCCATATTGCGAATTCACTACTTTGTGGCCAAAATCTCAATTGGGGAGGGGGAGCCGTAATGGGAAAGACTCATTTTTTTCCGATACAGGAAATTAAACGGAATAAAAATAAGTGAAACGTACATCGTTGGCGAACTCTCCTCTGTTCTTCAGTTGATTGTTGTTGTTATTGTTGTTGTTCTTCAGTTGCGGGTATTTGTAACTATTGCCCTCATCCCCATCACTTCCACTCTGGTCCTCTTTATTAGTGCTATTCCGTTTACCAACACGATGCGTAGGAGAATCTACAAAAACATCATTCAAGAACTCAGAACACACACTAGATGGAGCTTCGCACCATTTGCGACATGTGAAAACAAAACAACATAGCCAACAGACAATTGGAAAAGAGCCAATGAACGCAAGTATACAGAAAAAAACTGACTGTTTTTTTTTCGAAAAATATCAACTTTCGAATTTCCAAGAAAATGTGTGGCCTTTTTTCCGGTCATGGTTGAAGAGGTCCCAAGGTCAACCGCCTCTTCAAGGTGGGAATGGCTACGGCAAAATGGATGGCATCTCTCTCCCCCACGGAATAAAAAAGGACCAAGGTGGAAGCTGCGCCGGGGTTAAAAAAAGTTGCCTTGCTAAAGCAATGAGTAAAAGTATAAATTACGTATTGAAATTGTATCAATTTTTTTTAATCAGCGCCAACTGTTTACCATCTGTTCTCAAAGTCAATTGAACAGATTTTTAAATGGTCGCAGTGCAAGTGGCACAGTATGTTCGGCCCAGATTAATTATTTTAAAAAATCAGAAAAATATATTTTTTTCTTTTACTTTTTTAAAATAAAATTGCGTCTTTTTTCATAAATGAGAGAGGAAATAGACCTTAACGTAAAACATAACTAAATTGGACATAGTAGACTACGAATGTCTTCAAAAAACGAATTGAACAAAACGATAACCGAAGCTAATGTTCCGTCAATTTCAGTGAAGCTGAGATGATTTTTGCAACCTTTTCATATTCATTTCTAACTACTCAACCTGTTCGTCTGAATTTGAGACCAGCCTATTAGCATACCAGCCGATTAGCATGCGTCAATAATATTTCAAAGTTCGTTCAGTTATTCCTTTAACTTCAATGCAACCCAATCTAGCGGATCGAGACAAGCTTTGGCTCCTTTAGAAATCAAGAGCGGTATTGAATTATATCAAAGAATAATTATTTTAATAGCGCACGCTAATTTGGACGAATGCTAATTGCTACGTCCACATCTAGTTTTTATGGTTGCTATTAAAAACCTATTCATAGTACCTTCAGCTGACTCCCCTTCTTTTGTGATCACTTCTTTCCAGCATTCGAGGAGAGCGTTGAGACAGTTTGCCATGTCTACCGTGGACACAAATTTGGCCACTGCTTCAGTCGAGTAGGAGGACACTACACTGTTCCAGCTGCTACCAACAGTTACTCTGTCTCCCTTTCTGGTGTTCGCATTCACGTCGTCCTCGAAGTTGCTCTACAATCACACTACTAGCGATACATCATAACCTTATCATGGCAAGCTAGCCGACAGAAACACAATACGACAGCTACTCAGTCAAAAATAGCTCTGAAAAAAAACCGATTTATAGGTCTTGGTAAACTTCCTTGGAGTCTTCCTGATAAAAAACGCGCCTTTAGGCTCCTTTAGAAAAATTTTAGAGTCGGTCGACCAAAAATGGATTTCCTAAAAAGCACCAAAGGGGGATCCTTTGGGCCGGCAGGGGGTCGAATCCCTGAGGAGGGGGGTTTCCCCACTCCCTAAATCCGCCCCTGGTACCACATATGCCAATATATCATCACCTACCAATTATCTCCTCACCTGTTGATTTGTATGTTGATTGGGATGGCTTTGTCGTTTGTAACTTGCAACTGGACTGTCAGTTTGAGTGTTGTTGGCTGAGATGGTCAAGTCACTCAAAGGAACGTCTTCGTGTTCTTGATAGGCGAAGAAATCACTGCCTGACAGGTGGTCGCCTGTAGTAGTCGGTCTAGGAGAGGAAAGAAAGCTAGTTTTTATTTCATTTTTGACCTCATGTAATAGGGTACATCTACAGCAGTAGGAAAGAGGGGGAGGGGGCAGGAAGAAGGTGGGCGGTGGGAGAGGGGAGGGTTTCTTCGTAAGGCAGAATAACCACAATCGCCACTCTTAAACTGCTCAAAATTGACTGATTTTCTCGTCTATTTCTTCCGAACTTTAGAATACTGAATTCTGATTGGCTAACATAATTTTCGATACTCAGAGCCACCACGAGTAAGCCATTAGATCTCACACATTCCAAGCCACTTAAGTCCAAACTATATTTCTTCATTGTAGTTTCAATATCTAGTTTAATGATTGCCTTTTAAATGGTGGAATCCCTCATAGGCGATGAACCGATTAGGCGAAACTAAAAATCAGCCAATCAGATTTCAGTATTCCAAAATTTGGAAAGAAAGCGCGAAAATCTCAAAGAAAGTAAACATTTCTGAAGACTTAATATTAATCTTGGCCGAATGTAAAAACGGCAGAAATATGCAAAACTATCAAATTGTCGCTGACCGCCGGCGAATTTGAACAATTTTATTTTTCAAGGATTTTGTTATAAAAGAAGCAAAATATTGCTTGATTTAATTCCTTTTAGTTGAACAGCGATTGATTCTTTTTAATAATTAACTTTCGATTGCTTTTGTTTACGGTCCTTCGCCCATGAGAATAGCCCCCTTTTAAATCTCATTTTAAAGCAGCCTACATTTCAATCAGGGTTACGTAGCAGTATTTAGACAACCGCGTATTCAGACTCGTCAGTATGTAGACAAATACTGTCCCAACCAATCAAAATTATTTCGTAAATTTGCTTTCCCATCTCGATTCTGATTGGTTAATATGGCACTTGTCTGCTTACTGACGAGTATGAATACGCTGTTGTCTAAATACAGACCGCACTCCTTCAATCAGCTAGCATATTAAACGGTCATAAAAATAATGCGTTAGGTAGTTTTTATAAAACCAAGAATGCCGATGGTGGATGACGCACGCTGCCCCTCTGCTGGTAGCCAGTTTTTTGCAATGGTCCTTTTTTTCTTGAATTTACGACAGCCATTTTTGGGTGACCAACCCGAAATTTTATTTAGAATGACTTTGGTGCCAGCAAACGATAGTTTTTAGGCAATTGCGCGTGCCAAAAAGGCACTTTCTCGCCGAAAAATTACAGCTCGAGCGAAGACCAAACAGTAAGAAAATACGAAACTTTTGCATGCATTAGTAATTGCAGTTGGAAAAGAGTAATGAACGAAAGTAAACAAAAAAAAACACTGACTTTGTTGAAAAAATCTCAAACTTTCGAACTTCAAAGAAAAAAAGATGCCCTTAAGCTCTTTGAGTTTCTAGAACAATTTATGATTGGCGCTTTTTTGATAACAATAACCCAACTTGAGAAAACTGGATCACAAGGTAAGGTTTTTATTCCGCTGGAAATGTAAAATTAAAACTCCATTTTCGAAACGGTTACGTTTTTTTCGCGCAACTTCCACGTTCTTATTTGAAGAGTGCTATTTACGTCATTTTCAGCAGATGAATTTTAATTGAACTCAAAAAGTGCATATATAACTAAGTGCGTTCATAAATGCATTAAGAGGTATGAATGCACATCTGTACTTATTAGAGCATTTTGACACTTTTTTCTAAAAAAAAACAACAAGACCTGTATAAGAGTCTTCACTAGTTCATTACTCTTAATAATATAATAATAATAATTAATAATAATAATAATATTAACAAAAATAATAATCATAATAAATTGTTTCCAAAATATATCTGATATTTCATCACTTTTATATATATTCCGTTTACAAAATGCAGATCATTTAAGTAGATCGCCATTAGACAAACTGTCTATTTTCAGGTGTCTTGCGTTTTAAGTTTTCGCATAAACAATTTTTTGAATACACAAAATACTGAACCCCCGTCCATCTTCTGATTGATAACTACCTTGTATGGGTGTTGGCAGTGTCCTCCGCGTGTGTTGAACCACCCACTCTCTGATTGCCTGAAGCTAAGCCCAAATACTCGTCATGCTGTTCACCCATGATACCTGTTCGAACAACAAAACACAGATTCAGACAGCTGCTTCTAATCTTCAACTCCAAGACATGAAACTCCAAAATACAAAAATTCTCATAATACAAAAATCTGACTGCCATGGGCTATTTTTGAAGGGGGAAGGGGGTGACTTTTGTCCTAATAGGAAAGGCCTACACAGTATATGGGACAATTATCTCTATTCTGATTGGCTTACGACGTGTCTACTTTATGGCATGTCTACTTTTTAACCGCACTCCCTTCTAACCTGTCATTCCACTTCGATCTGCTTCCAAATGTTCCCTGCTGCCATTGGCTGCATTAATCTCAGCATTTTGAGCCTTGTGTCTATTCTCATTTTGATTCTGGTTCTGGGCGAATGAGAGACTGCTATTACGCACTGGAATGTGTAGAGTGGGCGGGTCTAACGTGTAGTCTGATGATGTTTGTTTCGTGGAATTCAAACCAGCCTCGTCTGAAATTAAAGTAAGATAGCATTACAATATCGCAAAGACCCATCTAGTCTAGAATTCACAACAAAAAAGCTCGTATCAGGGCCAATGTTCCTGAATGTTTCAACTGCCTCTAAGGTCTATGAAACAGTGTTCGCTTAAAAAAATTGGTGAATTTTTCAAGATAAAATGAAAATATATATTTTTTTAAAAGTATTGAGATTTTTTAAAACTCATCCTATCCACCACACGCCATCTTAAGTACAATGTCATGGATTTATCTCCTAGTAACGCTGCAATTATAATAAAACGCATGCTTCAACCAAATTGGAACAATTTCCAAGACTAATGAAATCTTCGCTAACGCGTTAATAGCGCGAAATCTGTCGCGCGTTAATTGTCCCACATTAACAATTTTGGCAATCTTTAAACCCCCATATTTTTAGGAAAAAGGATCACGAGGTAAATGTATTTTTTAAATTTGATCTGAGGACAACAAGAAATTCAGATTATGTACAAAAAAAACTCGACAAAATGGCTAGTGAAAAGGTCGAAAATTGGCTGTAGAAAAAACCACCCAAGCACAAATATTCCATCACTTTCTTAGAAAGTAGTTGGAACAAAAAGTAACACAGACGAGCTGAAAATCTCTAACATATATATGTTTCCTTCTAACCAACTCATGATTCTCAGCAGACAAAACAAAAGGCGGAGACTCTATCTTTTCTTTATTACCTTCTTCATCAAACCATTCATCCACAAAACGCCTTGGGGTACAGAGAGGCGAAGCTGCATTTCAAAAACACAAGCAAAAAAAACAACAGAGAAAAGCTCTAAAATGTCAAAACGGAAAGGAAAAGAATAAATCATAGCCAAAAGACAATTGTAAAAAGGTTTTTTAAAAATCGAAAAAAGTGGAAAAGAAGTTGATTAAAAACTTTTGAACCTCTTTCAACTTTTGGAAATAAAATATATCACAATGAGGCTCTTTAAATTTCAAGAATTAATTGTGATTGGCATTTCGTTCATAATGTCATCCTATTAACAGATAAATGGATCAAAAGACAATAACTAATTCCACTGGGAGTTCTGAAAACTAATGGCTATTAGTAAAACTAGCAGCTATTTTAGTTTTTTTTCGTGACAGTTGTGCAGATAAATGAAGGAGTTTGGCTTCCTTTTGAAAAACGAAAATGAACTAACTAAAATCATAGCCGCCAACTAAGTTGGAAAAGAGTAATGATAGCAAGTAAACAAAAAAAAATACTGTTGAAAAATTCGAATTTCAAAAAAATTTATTATAGGCTCTTTCAATTTCCAGAACAATTAATGACTGGCGCTTTTTTGATAAAATTCACCCAACTTGAGAACACTGGATCAATAGGTAAAGGGTATATTCCGTTGGAAACCTAAAAATTAAATTCCACTTTCGAAACTAGAAATCGTTCACATTTTTGCGCCAATTCTACGTATGTATTGGGAGAGTGCTATTCCCGTCACTTTTAGCAGATGAACTTCAATTGAACTCAAAACGTGCATATATACCTAAGTGCATTCATAAATGCATCAATATGAATGAATGCACATCTGTAGCTATTAGAGACTTTTCCTGAAAAAAAAACAAAAAAAGCAAGACCTATATGAGAGTCTTCACTACGTTCACTACTCTTAATAAAATTACCCAATTTGAGAACACTGGATTAATAAGTGAATTTTTTATTCCGCTAGGAAATCTGATTATTAAAATTCATTTTGGAAACTAGAAGTCGATCACGTTTTTCGTGACCTTCACAATTTTGCTGTTCGAATAGTGGAGTTTGCCTTCCTTTTAACAATAGAAATGCACTGAATTTAAAAAGAAATCACGAGTTAAAAAAAAACAAAAAAATAAGCAAGACCTATATAAAAGTCTTCACTACGTTCATTACTCTTAAAAATAACAGGTAAAGCCGTAAAAAGTAAACTTGAACGTGAACACAATTTCCTGGGAAAACAAAAAAAAACAAGACATACATAATTGACAATTAATTCGTTTTAACGTGACAATCATCTTAAAAAAAATTTTTGAAACGGAAATTGCTATTAGTATTTGTACTGCGGACTAAGAGTAGCTTGTCCTAAGCATTAACCCATTACTTTCAAAACTTACTTTCAGGCACTTTTTCTCATATACCAAGCAGCATAAAATAAGCTGTTAGTTTAATTAACCTTGAAACGTTGCACAAAATTTTGCACTTAGCGAGCGACGACAAATTAAGAGTTTTACACAGACGCGAAGCTGCGCTTCGCAAACACTAGCAAGAGTACGACAAAGAGCAGCCTTATACAGAGAAATAAGAAAACATAGCCAACTGACAATTGGAAAAGAGTAATGAACGCAGAAACTTTGAAATTCGAAGAAAAAAGAGATGGCCTCGAAGCTCTTTAAATTTGTAGAAAAATTTATGATGTAAGCATTTAATTTTTTAAAAATGAAATTAACCCAATTGGTTAAACTTTTATTTCGCTGAGAAATCTGATAATTAGTTTCCGTTTTCGAAATGATTAATCGATCACGTTTTTCGTGACCTTTACAATTATTCGATAGTGAAGTTTGCATTCCTTTGAACAATAGAAATGCACTGAACCTAGTAAAAAATCATAATTCCAACCGTTAAAAATCAAAATTGAGCGTGAACCAATTTTAAGACTTTCCTGAAAAAAAATAACACCAATACTTATGCAAGAATACTCAATACGTTTATTACTCTTAAAAACAGAAATAAGCCTCAAATTAATAAAACTTTGCTACGTATTGGCTTCAAACCTGCGAACTCAAGAATTGGAGTCTCACGCCCTGCCCGCATCAATAGGTAATTTTTAAAATTCTAGTGTAAAACAAAAAATGAAATCAGCTTTTAAAGAAAAACTCAATCGTGTTTTCGTCGCCATTTCAAATTTTTACTGGAGAGCAAAAGCTGCTTTCCATTGATTAAATGAAATTGAGGCGAATTTGAAAAAAAAATGATCAGTCAATTGAAAAAAATAAACAAAGCACAACGCGACCTATAACTGTCTTTTGACAATCCTCAGAAAACACAATGGCATTACTGATTTACGTGTGCAATAAAAAAATAAAGTGTACAATAAACTGAGCTAATAGCTATTGATTTGGTATGATTTTCCGGAATGATGATTTTTGTCGTCTTTTTTATAGCCTGGAGTGATATTTTCAGGTTCCTCAGAGAACGCTCGGCAGGGTGTCAAGTATGGCCTTGTAGTGAGCGTCGTTCTCTAGGTGTCCAAAAAAGGTCAGAAATATTATTTTGATTAGATAATTTTTAATCATGTTAGAACTCTTAATCCTTACATTGATCCTTATATGTTGATCCTTATATGTTGGTTCACTTAGAGGTGCTTGTCGTTGAACTGGTTCTAGTGGTTCAGATAAGCGAGCGTGTCGTTCTTCAAAGGTATATGGGTTATCTTGGAAAGAAATTCGTGTAGCTGTTGGGGGGGGTTTGGGTAGTTGTAGGTGGTGTTGGGTTATCTTGGGATGACGTCGGTGAAGACTGACTGTGTGATTGTTGGTTAGCAATTTTTGAGGGTTTTTTATTGATATTTTTTAGTGAAAAAATTTACGTTTATTGTAGTATTCTTCTAGAAAAAGAATTAGAAGGATTGTTGCTAAGGCGAATGTGATGATTGCTTTCTTAATACATTTGCATATTGTCAAGATGAGGGATGATAAAAATGTTATAAAAATTACAAATAGTAAAAAAATATCTGTTCTACTAAAAATGGTTCGTATCATTTAAATAAACTTTGGGTTATCGTACCTGTGGATATGGTCAATGACTTGGGAAAGTTGGAGATATATTTCAAATAGGGAGTAGAAAATTAAAAAAATATTGCAAAAAATGATTAAGATTATTACAAAAGCTTCAAAGGTATCAAAAAGAAATATGAATAAAAGTTTAATGATTGTTAAAAAGTTTATGAAAATGTTGAGAATTATGTTGACTGATCGAGAGAAGAGCATTGAAGAAATGGCTTCTTGATCGAATATTTTTTGTTGTTTGGGGCAATTTTCAAGTGTGGTCGAATTATTTATTGGTTTTTTGACAAGTGGGTTGAGTTTTGTGAAAAATTGTTGGGGGCGAATTTTATGGTGTTCGTGAGGTCTTCTTTTTCTTTATTTTTATTTGTCAAGTGATCTGGGGTATTTTTGAGAGTTTTATACTTTAGGCTAATTTAATATGGTCGTTCTTTTACTTTAGGCTAATTTAACATTTTTGTTTGGGGGGTATTTGAGGTCTGAGTTGGGGAAATATTGTTGATCTTTGGGTTATTAGATAAGGGAGGGTTATGAAATTATGGTGATATTTATTTTAGTTGTCAAGTTGGAATGGTTTGCTTATTTTTGACCTGGAGGTCGTAAAGTTATAGTTATAGATATGCCTGGAGTTTAATATCTTTCGTCTAATTGGTTTGTGTTAGAGTTATAGAAGGTGACGGATTGAATGAATCCTATTGGCTAATTTTGAACTAAAATCGCTGCGTGTTTGTCAGCATGTTATTCTGAAAAATGAAAGTTTAAAATGTTTCAGAGGTGCAAAGATTATTAATTTTTAAATTAAAGCTGTTTTTGAAATTTTGACTCTCTATGTTCTGATTTGTCGACTTGTTCTTGGGGGATAATTTTTTCTGTCATTTTTCTATTTTTTCTTTCTTTTTGAGGTATATTCTGATCTAGCTTTTTTGTTTTGTTTTTCGTTGTAGTTGATTTTTTATTTTTGTTTTCGAGGTGAATGTCATGTTGTTCTTTTGTTTCATTTTCCGTATGTGGGTTATTTTGAATAACTTTTAAACCTGTGAAAGAATATAACTGAGTTAGTTCGCGTAGTGCGTATTCTTTTGGGTAATAAGGTAATAGATTGTTTCAATGTTGAACAATTTCTTTTTGGTCTGAGTCAGTGATTTTATATGTTACGTCAGTGGGTTTGGCAATTATTAGGTATGTTCCTTTACGAAGGGGTTGTAA